AATGACTTATGAAAAATGAAATAAAGAGGTTTGTGTATCTTATCTTTGATATTCTTTAATTTAAAACTCCAGAGAAAACACTGTCTGGTTCTATACTGTATTTTGAGAAAAGAAGGGTTAGAAGAGATCTGAATGAAGTGCTAAAAAATATAATGGAAATAGATACTGTAACACTGATGCATCATCTTTGTTCATGCTTAATGGTAAGAATGGTAGAACGAACCAGGGGACAAAGATTTGAGAGTTAGTAGGGTTGAAGTTGTCGCAAATCGAGCAATTTTGTTTTTAAACAGGGTGGTTAGCTTTTGGAAAAGATTACCTTCAGATGTGATAGATACAACAGGATTGGGAAGAGTTCAAGAAAAGGCTTGATGAATACTATGGGAGTCAGGGCTGAATACAGGCAGATGGGTGTTTGATGAAATGAATGGGACAACCATGACAGACGAAGACACCCATTGTTGTCCCTCAAATATTATGTTAACTATATAAGTATCTAGAAACTTCTTTTAGTGGTAAGACATAGTAATAAGTGACAGTAGCTTTAGAAAATCTATTTTACTAAAAAACATTAAAATATTTAACATACATAGGGATATGAAACTAGCTTTTATATTAGTTGCCTGAATTTTGTTGATTTAGAGATATGAAATTGTAATAGACCAAAGTTAAATAATTATATTCATATACTACTAAATACCATCTGGAATCTTGAAGAAAAATCAGTAAAAAAAAGCTAAAAGTTCATTGCTCTGACAGCTTTTATGATTATATAAAATTATATTTTATGCATTTCTGGAATGCTATGGCTCCTGTAGACTGTGAATTTCATAAAAGTTCATAAAATTTTCTTAAAGTTAGATTGAAAATTCTCTTACTATTCTTAATTTGAAATTAAACAGTTTCTCCCTGCTTGTTTTATAAAGTAAATAGTTCTTAAAGTTTATACAAGTAATTTGATAACAATGACGATAAGCTGCTAAAATTTTTGAAAGACTGAAAGAGTAATTAAGTTGGAAATGGAAGTTGCTGGAACTTGAAAATGAAATATTGAACTAAAAGATTGTGGAATCAGTCCTGTCAATACTTCATTTACAATCATGACCAGTGTATCATACAATACTTCAATTTTCTACTTAACAATGGGTTGTAAGTCTGAAGCATGAAAATGAAATATTGAACTAAAAGATTGTGGAATCAGTCCTGTCAGTACTTCATTTACAGTCATGACCAGTGTATCATACAATACTTCAATTTTCTACTTAACAATGGGTTGTAAGTCTGAAGCATGAAAATGAAATATTGAACTAAAAGATTGTGGAATCAGTCCTTTCAATACTTCACTTACAATCATGACCAGTGTATCAAACAATACTTCAATTTTCTACTTAACAATGGGTTGTAAGTCTGAAGCATGAAAATGATGACTAGATAATTGTTCCATAATTAAATAATTGTTAGACAAAGGTTAAGTACTAAATCATCCTTCAGTTCTCACCAATTAGTGACAAGAAGTGCCAAGACACTTGGTTTAGTAAAAAGCATTGACATTATATTTATGTGGTAGTAGTTTTAAAACAATATACAAAGAAACCTTGAAATATTTTACATATAAACATGCTAGTCTGGTGATTATTAATCCCAGGCTACAATGATTAAAAGTAGCATAGGTGTTAAGAGCTCAGATGCAAGGAGTGGATTTTATTTGGGAACTAAGGACTGACATGCACTTTTAAGGAAGTTAGTAGTGAAGACATGCAATTTGTATGTAGAGTTTGTAATTTGGAGGAGAAATTTAAGGCTATCCTAAACAGAGAAGGGTAAACTGTGGGAAATGTTAGCATGATTTTAATAGGAACTTATCTTGCATGCAAAGGATATAGTAGCAAATAGTGACTTTCAGGAAGTTAGAAACATATAATAGGGCTACAATTGTGGATTTAATTGTACTGAGTAGGTTCTATTGAGTAAAAAGTTCCAGTCTTTAGTTTGTGCAGATGAAAAAATAGGGAAGGGAAGGAAAACAAAAGGGACAGCTAAGGATTGGAATGAAAAACATAAGGAGTTTATAGTTATAAGTGGTTCTTTAGTACGGCACCTGGATAGGATAGTCTGTGAGGTAAACAGGGAGAAAAGAATTAAGATATGCCATCAAGAGTTTGTTACAAACCACAACAAAACTGATGAAACTAATGAGAAACTTTACAGAGGGTTAAAGAGATCAACTGCAAACAGTGCTGTGTTTTGGTACCCACAGACCCTGCAGTTGCAGGGGAGGGGGGATGCTACATATGCACAAATTTTTAATTTGTCACATAAGCAAGACAATATATTTGATATGTATATAAAAAATATGTGCATAGCAGAAAATTCTCTGACAACATGGATCTTTATATCATTTTCATTTTGTTTATTTCCACATTTCTTGCAGCTGTTGTCTCTTTTTCCTTGCAATGTTTTTTTTAATTTTGTAATATCCTGTAATAACTCTTAGGTCATCAAAGAGACCGACACAATCTTGCCAACATCCGCTGAGCCCTGACACAGTGTGATCGGGATCAATTTGTTGCCACCTGATGGTAACACCGGCAGCAGGTCATCAAAGGGACCAATGCAGTCTTTCTGACATCTCCTGAGACAGAATGGTCATGGTCAACCTCCTGCCGATATAATACACAGAGAAGTATCAATGTCATAAGCACCGACACGACAACATTGTGTCATGGGTCAGGTTATATGTAATAGGCCTTACCAGCAAGTTTTGTTTTGTTTTTGGGAGAGACATACTGACAAGCTGTTGATTTACTTCATTGGAAGACATCAGATCATAAGGTAAGAAACACTCAAGCTAATTCAGTAAAAAGCAATAAGTTTTTGTTATGATTATGTTCAGAGGCATGTTCAAAACTTCAAACTACTAAGTGCATTCTTCTTACGGTTAACATTTGTGGTCTCTTGTTATAATTTGTAGTCATTCTAGAATGAAAAAAGCATAATTTATATATCTATTTCCTAATTTTTTATGGTGGTTACAAGGTCGATCAATAGTGAAAACAGGATAAAAAGATTCTGCATGTGAAATTTGACAATTTTCTGATACATAAAGAAAAATTACTCTGCATGTCGGACAGTCAACATTTGAAAAGAAAAAATGCACGAGTAAATCATTACTTAAAAAATCTTAAAACTTGATATAAAAATCTGATATTTTGAGTACAAAAGCCTTGTAACGTTTACTGATAATCTGCAAAATTTTCATGAAGGTATGCCTACTGTATTAAAAAATTATAGTATTATCTTGACTGTAATTTCATAACTTTGAAGGTGAGTTCATCGTTCCTTGATCTTGACCTTCTTGCCCAAGGCTGCAAGGTAATTTTTGAGAGAGGACTGCAAAGCTACTAAACATGGCACTGGGTGTAAATGAGGCTGTAATTATTGTGAATTTTAATTTCAGGCATAAAAACTGAGAAATGTTAAAGTCAAATCATGAGGGAGACAAAGTTTTAAAAACTGTTCAAGATTATTTTCTTCACCAATTGTGATATTAATCCAGTTTGACTGAACTTTATTTATAACAAACTCATGCTTTCTTCTGTCTAGTCACTTTTCTATCCAATGAGCCAAATAATCATCCACACCTTCAGTGGGGTACCTCAGGGCTCAGCATTGGGAACTTTGCTCTTTTTGATTTACATCAATGCCATAGATGAAGGGATGTTCAATAAATTATTTTTAATTTGATGATGATATTATGGTTTTGCGTGTTGCTCGCTACAAGGAGAATAATAATAGGTAGGTAAACAACAATTTATAAGCATGACGAAAAGTTTTATTGATGGTGGAACATACTACATATTTCAATACAACATTTATCAGCGCTAAGCAATCCAAGGTTTATATATCCTTACAATGGAGAATGTTGCTGCTTTATAAAAGTATTTAATTTATTTAGTGAATTGGGTGAATAAATAGCATATGGCTTTCAATCAGAATAAATGCAAGGCAATGCATGTGGGACATCTTAATTTGGATCATAAGTATAATTTTGGTGGATTAACCTTAACAGTGTGATAGAAGAAAAAAAAAGGTTTTGGTGATCTAGTTGATCAGTCTCTAAAGCCATCCAAGCAATGTGGCAGGACAAATAGGATTTTAGGTTGTATCTACAGAAATATTGAATATAAGTATAAAGAGGTTACAATTACATTGTTTAAGTCATTGGTTAGGCCACATATTGTGTTCAGTCTTGGTTTCTTTACCTTAGGAACGGCATTGAATTGTTGGAAAGGGTTCAAAGAAGAGCTACTAAGATGATACCTGGGAGAGAAAGGTTGTCATATGAAAACAGGTTAAGATCTTTGAAATTGTTTTCCCTTAAATAAAGAATTATAAGAGATCTGATTGAGGTGTTTAAAATTGTTAATGGAATTGATAGTATTAATTTATCATCTTTTTTCACACTTAATGGTGAAAATGGTAAGAAGAGGGAACACAAATTTGAACTTTTGACAAGGGTTTCATTTTCAGGTAAGACAGCTTTATTTTGCCCAAACTGTATAATATAGGGTGATTGATCTTTGGAATGGATTGCTTTCAGTTTGGCAAATCCAGTTAATTTAAAACAGTTTAAGGGAGAGCTTGATAAATATTTAAATAATAAGGGCTGGCTTTTAGTGTTTGTTTTTAAAGTTCAGTGGATGAAACGATCTAGATGAACCAACAAGTCCCTTGTTTACTTTAAAGTTTCAGTTGTTGTCCTTAAGGCTTAAATTATATGTATGTTAGTATTATTACTATTAGTAATACATAGTATATCATATACTCCCTACATATACTATAGTCTATAGTATATCACTATATGTAAAACTTGACTTGTGCTTCTTAAGGCATCGTCGTGCTACAAAGTAATCTTGTTCAAGACATACATACATAGCTAAAAGATTAAGTATAACAACAGACACGGACACAAGTTTATTTTTACCATTAACGTTACTTACAGGGGTTCCAAATGCGCTGTTAACCATCCTTTCAATGCGTCAGGATTTTCAATTAACATATTCTTCCGATAAATATAACAGATTATATTAATATCCGTATAAGTTGATCTATTCACAAAGGTAGAGCAGCACTAGATAAACTGAAGATTGCCAATAAAACAACACATACACGTTTAACTCCGGTAGTACTAACTTTGTTAACAATAATATTAATACTAACAGCAACATTAATATTACCAATGTTCCTTACACATTGATCGCGTCCTCTAACGAGAGTTTTAGTTATTAAGGTGCTACGTTCGTTTCTGGCAGTTATTTAGATTTAAAAATAATTATTTCCGAAGAAATAATTACTAATCTGGGGTGCTCGAAGATTAAACAATCCTCCTTCACCCCGCGCGTGGCCTAGGAATATGGGCTTAACTTGAGAAAACAGGAAATTAATGCAGACAAGGTATGTAAATTTAAAAAGTAAACGTGAGAGTAACGGTAAACAATAAAAAGTGAAGAGCAAAGTAAACTAAACGGCCGATATCGGATAGATGGTCCATCAGGGTGGCGGGGATCTAAAAATCCTATGCAAATAATTTAATGTGGGGGAAACAGGAGTACCCCAAGAAAACCCACTTTCACTGCTAACGACCAATCCGTTACCAGTGCCCGGTTAGTAAGTAGAAAAGGTAAAGTGAAGTCCGGTGCTGGGGGTTGATTAGCTTTTGAAAGAGTTGTGGAGTCTCCTGATGTTCGCCATGGTTTTATTGTGGAACAGGTTCCGGTTCCAGGAAGGTAGTAAAGGCGTGGAGTCCTCGGTGTTGTTGGTGAGTGGGAGGAAGGCACAGAAAGGTTCGTCGGGTAGGTAGATATCGGGGAAGGTGTCAATTACTAAGGCGTTCGGTGAGATTGACGACGATGATGTAGAAAGTGGCTTGGGGCTGAGAGGCGGGTGCAAATTAAGGTGCTACAGTAAATTAAGTTACATTTAATAAGAAGAAGAAACAAAAAAAGCCAGAAAGTGTATTCCTTTTAGTACAAATTTTATGACAAAAACGACGGGATCGTAAAATGATACTCATTACTTAAAGTGATGTTGTGTATTTTAGCATTGAATAATTTAATAATCTCGCTCTGATAATATCTTTCCTAGAAAAAAGCAGTGCCACATTCATTCAGTCAAGAGGTTATCGATTGAAGAATAGCACTATTGAATTATCAGAAATTCCCATAAACCCAAATATTTGGCATCAGGGTTCGTATCCAAGGCAATATATTACTGCATTAGCATATACAATCGTTTTTACCTGCATTTGTACTTGCACAGTATTCAATGAACGATCTCAGATGTTATGAAGGCTGTATGCTTGTCTGTACCAGATAGTGTAGAGACAATGATGCATGTTATCCTGTTTTTCTGCCTAAAGTCGACATATTACTTTAACATTCCTTCTTCATGATCATCATTAGTATTTACTGAAATTTTTGTTTTTAGTATTTAGACATATCATCTATTATTGCATACTTAGATGGAATTGTAAAGTCATTCCATGTATGCAGTTGTGTAAATGACTTTTATGTGGTCAAGTTTTTATGACTTTGTCTGTTGAACAAGCTATTTAGCAGGTAGCTTTCACAAGACATTCAAACTTAAAATATCAGGGCTTGAGCCAATATCTGTACCAACTACTTTTAGCAGATGCACCAAGGGGGCAAGCCAATCATTATTTGTGTGAGTACAAAGTGTGTATTCACTGGCCATAGTGTTGGTTTATTTGGCAGTGATGAAACATTGTGAGGCCAAGTAGCATTGTTGTGGTTCCTGTATTCTCGACCTTACGTCCTTGTATTATCACAGATACATATTGAGCTGCAGTTGCTGCTCAACATGCTCAACTAACTTGGATTCTTCACTTCATATTGGTTGGAGGCCAGACCTGGTATTGGACTACTAGTTTAACCTAGTGTATCAGGCAACATCTATAACCTCTCTTGTTTCATTTATTTGCTGGAAAATATTTAAATAATAATCATAGTACACTGGGACTTGATTATCTTATACTGTTCATAGAGAAAGTACATCTACCGACCAATGATCTAATTGGTCGTAACTGCAGTAGGAGCTTCGCCTATTTCTTTTTCTGTGCATCCAACTTATCAGCACAGCCAGAGATTCAAACTCAGAAAGTGCTAGTAGTCATTAATGTTGTATCAAGTTACCATATGGTCTTCTCATCACATGATGCAAACGCTACATGGATGTGTTGATGGTGAAATCACTCAACTGCTACAGACTTTCCCCATTCTAGCAACTTGGCTGAAATTGACATTTCATAACTTGTTGCTGCTGAAACAGCTTCTGTTAGAGACAAGTTTTCTGATACCTATGTGGTTTTTCTAAGTGGTTACTGTGACTCCATAAATTTGGCTATGACAACATACTACAAACTATTGCCGTCGTGGTTTGGTACACCTTTTCAATGAAGACATCTCAGCTCAACAGTTCTCATGGGTTCCATCCTTTTGTGTGAATTCTTCCTGGTAGAAGAACATTTTGTACTGGGCCAAAGCATTGGTACATCTCTCCTACTTTGGTGTTCCAATTACAGAGCTATCTGGAATCCAAATATTCCATGAGGTACAATAACAGAATTTTCAATCTCAGCAGCAATCCTGCAGTGATTGTTACTGTGACCAGGAGCTCCAAGTGGTTACTTGAGGAATCAGTTGAGTAAGTGGTATTAGTCTTTTTGCTAACCTTTTAAATGATAGAAGTAAAATATATTTCACCTTACTAATTCCTGCATGATGCCATGATTACAGCAATGCATTCTGTACAAGACTATGCTGACTTTACTTCCTTACATTCTGTTAAACAAAAGGTTCAAGTGTTGCTCTGCCATAAAAGAGGTGTCTCATGGCTGGAAAGTCCAAATTGGCAGAACTAACCCACTGTTCTTGTCTCCCCTCTTGGTGCAGTTATTTGCTCCACCCATCATCAAACATCAGGGCTCCAGGTTGCTCGATGTTAATAGCTATAGCTTACTATAGATAATTATTTTTATAATTTCAGCAAATCCAAGATAAGAAGCCATTGTCTTCTTTTCAGACCCCCCAAGATGGTGGGGAGGCTTGGGAAATTTCCCTAAGGCTCTCTGACCCAAAGGTGGCCCTAAAGAAGGCAAGTGACAAATTGATTATGATAGTAGGCCATCATACCACTCCTTCCCCAGCTACTTGAAATCTCTTGGCAGCCCCACGTCTTTTCCATACGATAAGCACAAGAATAATTGATATTATCAGTGACCCAAGATAATCTGGATTATGGTTCAGTTTTGGTCAAATCATGATACCCTAGTCGGCATGTAGATGTGCTGAAGAACATTCCACATCCAAACTTATATGAAGATTAACACAATGTTACGACAGCGGAAGTCACGCGACGCTGGGAGCATGCGCGCTGGAGTTTCTCGAAGGATCATGAATTATCGGGGAAGACCGAGTTTGTTCAGGACGCCCAATTTTTTAGTATATAAGCCTGGCGAGAAAACCAGCGTGATCGAATGGATAGATAATTGAGTCAAGCGAACAGTAGGCACGTAAGTAAAGTGTGTGAATCACTGTGATTTGTAGCGTGTGTTATAAAGGTTGTTAAGTTTAAAGTGACTGTGGAAATTTTGTGTATTACTAAAATTTGTATCTAGAAATAATAAACTGGTTTAGTCAAGAAAGGACTTGTATCGCTGAAGTTTCTCGGAAATAATTTCTACCGGAAATTAACAAACAAGCAGAAACGTAACAACAAATATCCTCTCTGTTATGAGTATGTATAACATGAAGAGAAATCTCTTGGAAAAATATCTGACAGAGGAGCACGAGAGAGAGAGAGAGAGAAGAAAAATGAGAAACAAATCCCCACTACTGCACAAACTTATTCCTTGTCGCAGCACTAGAAAAAAGGACACTGTGATATTGTAAGTATTCAACCAGTACAATAAGAATAGGTTCGATAATTTAATTGGTGAAAGGATTAAGCAGGATATAACTGACAAGCAAAGTAAAGTCAAGACTCGAATACAAAACTTGACAAAAATCTACTTTATCAACAAATTAAAGAAAATAAATTAAAATAAACAGATAAATCGACACTAATATTTCAGAAAGTGCAATGTGAATAAACTATCTAAAATGACTGAGAATTAAAACTGAATGCAAATGAAAAAGTTGAATGTAAAATACAAATGTATTGCTGTGAAATAGATCACATCTAACTGAATGAAAATTAAATGTAAGACAAATAGAAATTTAAACACAAACACAACTATATACCTAGTGGTTGGACAATTAAAGCTGACCCCAAGAAACACGAGATAACTATTCAGAATCAGCTCTTAGCCTTCGTCAAAACTAGAGATTATTTCTTTGGACAAAACAAAATATATTACGTTACAACGCTAGAATCCGGGTTTCGATACCCATGGTGGGCAGAGCACAGATAGCCCATTGTGCAGCTTTGTGCTTAACTTCAAAAACAAAACAAATATATTACGATCAAATATCAAACTCCTGGAAATGTGGCGCTATCTATTGAATGGCACCACAAACAAAAATCCGTAAAGATTTTCACACGTTGGGTATTCAAGATTCAGACAATTATAAAAATACATATGGTAAGTGCAACAATCATTTGTTTATCAAAAAACACTATTTTATATAAAAGTGCTATCCTCATAACAAGAACACGACTTTCACTAGGACTGTACTTGATGGTTTGATTATATCTTTATTGGAGTAATTTGTAAATATAGTTCTCAAAAATGAAGTTCTTAAAGACTGTTATTTTTTTTTCAATAAAGGGTACTGTTGCGTCAGCAAGGTCACGTGACTAGTATCACGCCACTTCTTTCTCGAACCTTCGTGAATTGTCGGGAGATTACTAGATTGGGGGTAGTCTGCTATATATAAGATGGTCACAACGTGACGGGACAATGTGTAGGCAATAAGTAATTGAACTGCAGTCAGAGAGTGTGTGATTGAACAGAGTATGGTCGAGCTCGTGAGACGTGAGTTATAGCGTTTGCTATAGAGCGACTGTTGAAATTAAGTGTATCGTAAAGTTGTATTCGGAAAGAATAAACCAGTCTTATTTAAGAAAGGACTTGCGTCGCTAAAGTTTCGTCTGAACGAATTTACGGAAAATTAAATAACGAACGGAGACGTAACAGTACCATTTTTAATATATAAAAACATTACATTTTATATCAAC